TTAGAGGACCCAGCACAGTGGCCTAGCAGCTAAAGTCCTCACCTTGAACACACCAGGGATCCCATATGGGTGCCGGTTCTAATCCTGGCAGCTCCACTTCCTATCCAGCTCCCTGCTTGCAGCCTGGGAAAGCAGTGGAGGACTCAGATCGGCACAGCCCAGGTCATTGCGGTCACTTGGGGAATGAATCATCAGACAGAAAATCTTCCTCTCTGTCTTTTCTCCTCTCAATATATCTGACTTTCCAATAAAAATAAATACATCTTTAAAAAACAATACCACAATTTCTTCATTTATGCACTGGTGGACTATTCGGTTGATTCCGTATCTTGACAATTGTGAACAGTGCTGCAATAAAACATCTTTTCACGTGATTGTATTGTGTGGCCAAAGAGAACCAGACAAAAGGCAGGCAAGAAAATAACAATAACAATCATAATCATACTACATATCCTATCTGCCCAAGTAAAAAAGCAAGCTCTGACAGAGTGACTTTCTAAAGCCCCGAGAACCCTAAGCACCGGCCCAGGTCAGATCTCAGGACCCTGACTAGTCATCACTGTAATTATTGTCTGGGAAGTGGAAGATGGGGGCATGTCTAGGGTGGGATCCCCCGAGCCCCTAGCACCTTTCTCCCTGTTCCCTCATACATAGCTGAGCTTCCTACCCTATGCTGCCCGCCCCGTCTGGTCTGGCTGGATGAGAGTCTGGCATCCGAGTGGGCTGCTGCTGCCCGAGGCAGGTCTGCCTTTCTGTCTGCAACAGTGGGGATCCAAGCTATTGGGCTCGGAGCTGGTGAATCATGCACTTGGCTTTCCGGCTCATCTAATGAATGGCAGTCTTTCAACTTGGGACGGAGCATCCGATGAGACCGTGCTCCCAGGAGACAGGTGGAGTGGGATGGGGGGAAGCGTGAAGAGGCAGTGGTGTCGGGATACATACTTTGTTCACCAGGTGTTTATAGTTTAGCCAAGACTCAAGAAAATAAAATTAAATCAGGAGGCATCCATAAAATAAGGCCAGGACCTTTTTATTTGCACTTTCACTGAAATTCAGTGAAAGGCAAACCCAGCAGGTACCTGTTTTAACTGGCAGTAAAAAGAACTGGACGGCAATTATTTAAAAGGAGTTAGAGTTGTTTAAATCTAAAATTGAGGGGTAGGTTTATGTCTTAAAAGAAAGTTTACAAGGTGGAAGATTGGGGTTGAGCTGTTTCTGATTAAAATGACACAGAAAATGTTTCTCATGCTTATTTTAAACCTCCCCCCTTTGCTGTTTGCTTACTAAATTTAGCAGGCCAGGAAGCCATAAGCAAATGTATTGGAAGAAAAAAAAAATGAAGCAAGTCAGGCATATTTCAAAGTTGAATCAAAGTGATGGACTGAGAATAAAGCTCTCCAAGATGTGAAGTTAGTCCTTGCGTTTTGTGGAGTTGAATTGTTATTTCAGCTTAAACAGATGTGATTGACCTTATTGGATGCAGAAGTGCCAGCCTTGGCACTCTCTAGAAGGACCCAGACAGAGGCTGGAAGACTGTGGGAGGCTCCTCAGGCCGTCACTCCTTTGTTCCTCACCATGGCAACGCGAGGGCTTCCCAAGTCGTGGCCCAGATGGATTCCCTGCCTCAAAGCCCGAACATAGCCCTGTTCCCACCCAGCCATGGACTTAAGCCACGGGGCCCGATGCCAGAGAGTAACCTGCTCTCTTGCAGGGCACAGCTGCCACTTCCACTGTGTTGGGGCCATCTGTGGCTTAGGTTTGGATTCTGCTTTTTTATTCTTGGAGGATGACTTTCCGAAAGGGCTGAATGACTGGTAATGTCTATGAGCTTTGGAGTATTGGAAAAAGACACTTGGCTCCAACCAATCAGCAACAACGACAAAGACTGACACCAAAAACTGGATCAGGGACTCACACCATTCAGTTGGAGCTCTTTCGTTCCATCTCTCAGCTCTGGTTGCTTCTTCTTGGTCTGTTCTTCAGACAAGATTTCTCCACATGATAGACAAGAAGATCTTCATTTCCCAACCTCCCAGTAATGAGGAGAAAGAGCTCATTGTATGGAACGGTCTCAGGGAGGGGTGAGCTGGAGGTGCTGCTCTGGATGCCTGGATCCCATTTCAGGTGACTGGGCTCTGCTCTCCACTCTGGCGTCTTGCCAGTGCACACCCTGGAGGCAACAGGGAAATGCCTCAAGTGACCCAGTCTAATGCGCCCCTTTGGGAAGCAGCCAGTGATGGTTCAAGCGGCTGAATCCCTCCCACCCTCATGGGAGACCCAGAGTGAATTGCTGGCTTCTGGCTTCATCCTCAGCCCAGACTCTGCCTCTGAAGGCATTTGAGGAGTGACGTAGCAGATATGGTGCTTTGCCAAATGTACTGTTGTATTCCCCCTCTCTGTCATTGAAGTGTGTGTGTAAACAAACAACGTCTCATAGAAAGATTCTGATTGGCTTAGCTGGATTCACATGACCTTTCCTGAGCCAATCACTATGTCTAAGGCTGCAGTACTCCTATTGGTCTTGGTGCTTCTTTTGCTCACCCCCCCCCACCCCTGTGCTCATTCCTGGGGTGTTGGTGGGACAGGAGGATGGCAAATAACAGTAGGTGAATGGGGAAGCATATCCCCAACACAAGCAAAAACTACCTGTTCCCTGCCTGGTCCAGCTCAGTTTCAAGTGAGGTGTTGTGCCTAGTGTGTGTGGAAGAGGGAGCAAAGGAGAAGAGATCTGGAGGTCATGATCACTCATTACTCATTTATTCATCAGTCGTTGCTTTGGGGAGCTGACCATCACCTAGGCACTGCTCTGGGCTTTGAGATCCAACCTTTCCCCAAACAGACAACCCTTACCCTGGTGAAATTTATACTGCTGTGAAGAAAAACTGCCCCACAGTAATACAAGTAATCAAAGTATATGCAGAGTCTCATGTGGTGCTAAGAGCTAAAAGGAAAACAATAACAGCAGGGCATGGCCTGGGCTGGGGTTACAATTTTACACAGGGTGGTCGGGGAAGGCTCACAGAGGAGGGAAGGTTGGAGCAGAGTCCTGTAGGAGGCCAAAGAGGAAGTCCTGCAGTGTCTGGAAGAAGAATCTTCCAGAAGGAACAAAAGGGTTCAAGGGAAAGGTGCCTAATGGGCTTAAGGAATAGCCAAGAGGGCAGTGTGACTGGAGCAAAGCAACAAGGCCATCGGCAGAGGCTGCAGGAGGCAGGGCATTAGGAAATGGCTCCTAGGGGGTCCGGTGGGCTGCTGGGAGTGCCAGGCTTTATGTGGGAGAGGTCACTGGAGGCCACAGGATGTGTCAGAGGAGCCCATCTGTTTGATGTTGCTCTGTCCCCAATTGATTACAAATGGTTTGAGAGTATGGACAGTATTTCAGTATCCATCCATCCATCCATCCATCCTCAGCAAACACATGATGGGTACCTTCTAGGTGTCCAGTGTAAAGGAGAGCCACGTTCAGTGGTCCCCAGTCGATGGGCATTGTCTCAGTTGGGCTGGGGGTAGAGGGAGACTTTGCGACCCATTCTCGAGTTACCCATTACCATGGTTGCATTGGGATTTCCTCTTGATGATCTTCTGTGGCCATGCCTAACATGGAATTGGGCAGGAAAGGGGACACATTTCTAACTTCCTCATCTTGGAACCATACCTTCTTTGGTTTAGTCGCATATTCCCAACCTCTGGACCATGTGTGTGCATACAAGTTTTTAGTGGATGATTGTGTGTTGATACTAGCAGCATATCCACAGGAATAGGATACCCCCATGACTGGATGCCCAGGGCAGATCAAAAGTCAGATTGCAGAGTGTGGGAAAAGACATTGAGGGTGGCCTGATGTACCCATCTCTGCAAGAGGGGACACAATTGAATTCATCTAGGGAGACTGAATTTGAGGCTCTCATGGGACAAAGACACAGAAATTTCATGGCAAAAGAATGGGGTAAAATGCAAAAGGAGGAACTTGGGAGCTGGAAGGGACTGAGTTATAGCACACGCTCACTAGAGACTGGGAAGCATGGGGAGGGGGCGTGACTAACGAGTGGGGAGGTTTGGTCCGTGACACCTGTCATCCATCTCTCCCAGCACTTGGGACTGTGGACCCGGTATGTGTGCCTGGGGCATATCGGCAGTAAGGGTGGTCCCCAACAAGGCTCATCTACCTGGGCCTTGGCACCCTGCAGGCTCTACCTTTTTATCTGTGGGGTTTACTTGTCTTTGCAGCAGCGCTGCCAAATGTCCGTCCCAGACTGGGGCTCGTGCCTGGCTCCTCCCTTGGAGATGCCAATCTATAGGGGACGTGGCAGGCACTGTGCTGTAGTTTGCAGTCCCCTTAGGACAAAGAACATTGATTAAGTGTGTGGGTGTTGGGGCACAGTGGAATAGTGTGACACTGATATGCCATATGGGTGTCAGTTCAAGTCCCAGCTGCTCCACACTTTTAAAAAAATGATTTATTATTAGAAAGGCAAATTTTGCAGAGTGAAAAGGAGATACAGAAAGAGATTTTCCATCTTCTGGTTCGCTCCCAGAAGCTGAGCTTATCTGAAGCCAGAGTCAGGAGCTTCCTCCCGGTCTCCCACATGGGAGCAGGGATTCCAGGGCTTGAGTCATCTTGTATTGCTCTCTCAGGTCATAAGCAGGAAGTTGGATCAGAAGTGGAGTAGCTGGGACATGAATGCTCGCCCATAGTGGAATGCTAGCATTAAAAGTGGAGGCTTGGCCTGTTATAGCATGGCACTGGCCCCAAACTAAACAAACAAACAAACAAACAGTTAAGGGAGAGAGAAAGAGAGCAGGTGTTGGAGCTAGAATGGTCTGTTGGAATCCAGACCTTGTGACTTACCAGCTCTGACCTTGAGGACTGTTTTTTAAGCCTCTCGTGCCTCAGTGGCCTGATCTGTCCCCTAGGGGAGCTAATGCTCTCCTCGCAGCGCCGTCAGCTGTCGCCTTCCGTGTGCATGGTGGGCTACTCCAGCTGACGGGGACCTTTGTCTCAGGTGACAGGGACACCCTCCAAGGGCTTTGACGAGAAGGCCTACCTGTCGGCCAAGCTGCTGAAGCCTGGAGAGGACCCCTACAGGCAGCATGCATTCAACCAGCTGGAGAGCGACAAGCTGAGCCCTGACCGGCCCATTCGCGACACCCGCCATTACAGGTATGGCTTCTGTCGGCCATGATGGAGAAAGACAGGTAGAGAAAAGGAACTGAGGGGGCTGTGAACCTGTCAGACCATTGTCTTCAGGACTTGCCTGCCCTCTCTTTATTTCACTGGCCCCTGAGAGGTTGCTAGGTCAAGGATGCCCCTCATATGGGGCCAGGCAGACCCCTGGGCACCTTGGTCTGGCATTCCAAGAAAAGAAACCTTCTGGGAACCATAGGCGGCTAGGGGGCATGGATGGGCCCAGTGCTGTTGGCACGTTACCTTGCTGGTGAGGCCCAAGTTGAAGAAGGGCCACCAGTCTTGCGCAGTGCAAGCAGTGGGATGCTGGGACAAGCCTCCATTGACATCTCTTTTTCCTGTCCCCACTTCTTCAGCCACTCCCAGAAATGCACCCCAGTCCTGCCATTAGTTCTCCTAGATCGGGATCAAGGGTACCAGCATCCGATCCCAGCTCTGACTCAGCTCGGGGTCCATAACCTCGAGTCTTACCACCACTGGCAGTCTCCTTGTCCTGAGCCCCTGATCTAAGGACACAGCGTTCCTTGCTACCTGGCCTTTCCCTCCCTCTACCTCCCTCCTCCCTGCCCGCTGAGCCCCATCCTCCTCTGTCCTCCCTGTCTTGTTCCCTCTCAAACTCTTTCCTCTGTCTGAACACTCCATCTGCCACACCACCATGCCCTCTCCTGTTGCCACACTTGCCTCAGGGTCTTGGCACCTGCTCTGGGCTCTGTACAAATGTTCAGCCACCAGAGGGCACTACCAGAGCTCACCCACTGTCCATTGGCAGCTCAGAATGACCCACAAAGCTCATCTCTGGGCTAGGCTATGGCAAGTGGGAAGGTGCTACAAGTTGCTGCCAAGCACCCTCTGGGGCAAAGGTGAATTGAGTGTGCGTGTGAGTATGTGTGCATGTGTGTGCTGTGTGATGTGTGTGTAGGTAGAACAAAGGACATGCTGGGTGTCCTGTGGTGGAGCCGGGTGTGCTGGTATGAGCCGTGCCCTTCCCCTTGATTCTCCTGGCTGCCATTTGTGCTGGACTCCAGACTGTCTGCCAAGCTCCTGGTCCAGCCCTCCATCCCGGGATCCCTGTCCAAGGCACAGAGAAGACTCCACCAGCCCAGGGCCAGAAGAGGGGGAGGGCCAAACCCTCAGAAATCCTCAGAAATCCTCATGGGAGGAGTGTGTGTGGGGGGGGAGGGGTAGGTTAAGTACACCCTCCAGATAGGGTGTGGGTAGTTTGTCCCCTGTCATCCCTTACTCAGAGTCCCTCCTTCCTGGGCAGCAGGTGAATGGGGGACAAGCACAGAGCCCCTTCTCAGCCAGCCAAGTCTGCTCCTGCCCCACCTCCACGCCAGTTCCACATCTCTCTCATGGAAAAGAATTAAGTGTCAGAATTTCTTCCACGGGGGTGCCAAGCTAGTGGGACTCGTGCCTGTGTGACACGGTCCGCGTTGCAGGGCAGGAAGGGGCCTGGGAACTTGTGCCATGCACAGCAGACAGTGGGATAAACACCCAGGGTGGGGGTAACTGGAGTCCAGTGTGCGGTGATAGCCCACCAGGCAGGCTGATGCCCAGGGCAATGGATGGCTTCATTCCCTTTCTGCAGGAGGAGAAGGCCACATGGCGTCTGGAGCTAACGAAACCCTGAGCTGCTGGTGAGGGTCAGGGGCCAAGGTTGTAGCACAACACGCCAAGCCACTGCCTGGGACGTTAGCATCCCCTATGAACACTGGTTCAGGTCCCTGTTACTCAGCTTCTAAGCCAGCTGTCTCCTAATGCATCTGGGAAGGAAGCAGAGGATGGTCCAAGTGTTTGCGACCCTTGTATCCATGTCAAAGACCCAGGTGATGTTCCTGGCTGCTGACTTTAGGCTGGCCCACCTCTGGCCATTGTGGCCATTTGGGAAATGAACCAGCAGAAGGAAGATTCTATCTTTCTGTCATTCTGAATTTTAAATATTTTTTAAATAAAAAGCTTTAAAAAAAAAAAAAAGAAAAAGCCCTGATCTCTTAGGACCCCTGTTGCTTGCTTCTTCTCCTCAGACCCCAGGCTGTGTGGCACCTGCGTGCTGGGCCAGTGTGGGCTGCAGTGTGATGTGTGGGAGAGGCCTGGCCCTGGGGCTACTGCTGATCTCCCTGCTCCCTCCACAGTTGCCCATCCATGTCCTACTCTCTGGACCTGCCGGCCACCAGCGTCATCATCACCTTCCACAACGAGGCCCGCTCCACCCTCCTGCGCACGGTCAAGAGGTAAGCCGGTGCCTGGGGGGACCCTCATCGCAGCAGTGCTGCCCCCCCTCACAGTTTCTATGACCTGCAGCACCCACCTCTGGCAAGGGGAGTTCATGAAGATGGGGTGCCATCACCAGGTAGCCCCTGGAGGAGAGGTCCCCACCTTGAGAAACTGAGATGGGTGACCTAGAGTCAAGGAGATTCCCCAAGAGCCCACAACCATCAAACGCAAGGTGGTGGCTTGAGAATCAGGACAGAAATTCAGGGATCAAGGGCAGAGGAAGGCAGGGAGGGGCGAGCTGAGGTCACAGAGAAGTACCCTTTCCGCTCGTGGTGCAGTTTAGCCCTCCTTTATCACATTTCCTCCATGAACTGAGATAAGAATGGGAAGGCGTGCCCAGCGATGTTCCAGGGACAGGGGAAGAGGGCTCCTGGGGAATAGCTTCCTGCCCAGGAGCCCCACCCAGCAACGCGAGCTGGCTAATGCTCCTGTCCCTGGGCAGGTTGGTCAAAGCCATGGGCATTAGAGCAGCCCCAGTTCGTGCCTTCTTAACAGCCTGCCCTGCCACCTGGGGGTGGGCCCAAGGGCCTGATGATCCAGACAACAGGGACAGCCATGTCCTTGGGTGAGCCCTGGTTTAGCCAAGACATGCATGCTTCCCAGCCTCTGATGAGGGAAGACTAAGAGCAGATGCCCCCGGCCAGTGTGCTGACCTGGCAGCTGAGTGCCAGGTGAGCTGCATGGCACAGACTGGTAGGTGGTTGCTGAGTTGCGGCTCTGTCTCTGTCCCCACGGCTACTGCAGTGTCCTCAACCGAACTCCTGCCAGCTTGATCCAGGAGATCATTTTAGTGGATGACTTCAGTTCAGATCGTGAGTATTGCACCTGACCCTGTGCCACCCCTGCTTCTGTCTCCCCAGAGGCAGGAGGCAGGCATGCCTGGCATAGTCCTGGCTAACACCGGATGACCTTTCTGATCTCAGGGGGCTCCCTGTGGGGCTTTCTAGGCTCCTCCCTAGCTGGTACCAGAGCAAAGGAAAAAAGGGGTGTTGCTTTGGCTGGCACCCCAATGAGAGGACCTTAAAAGAGCGGGAAGTGAGCATTTGTCTTAGCAGTTTAGATACCCATATGCCATTTTGGATTGCCTGCATTCAGTGCCTGATTGTAGCTCCTGACTCCAGCTGCCTGGGAGGCAGCCATGATTGCTCAGGTTGCTGAGGGCGGCCACCCACACATAAGGGAGACTTGGATTGAGTTCCCAGCTCCCAGCTTTGGCCATGGCCTAGCCCAGCCTTTGCGCACATTTGGACAGCCAACCGTCATATGAGAACATTCTCTCCACTCCCTATCTCCTTTTCCCTCTCCCACCCCATTAAATAAATGGCCTTTTAAAAGGGGGAGCAACACCTACAGCATGTTTTATTATCCCAATTATTGTATGTAGGAGCATGTTCCTTCCACAGGGCTCTGAGAGCCGGGCTGGTAGCCAGGGTTGGTGCCCTTGGAGCACCCAGAGAGGAGGTGCAGTCATGCATGGGTGCAGGCAACCCCTCAGTCTGGCCTGGGAGTAGGAAGCAGAGCAGCCCTTTGGGCAGTAGCAATGACCAGGCCCTTCACTCTACCTCGTCCCCAGTCCCTTGCAACACCCGGTCGGGGAGGACAGCTTCTGGGTGGTGCCCATGGCAGCCAAACCCATTGTGGTCCAGCACCCAAGCCTGAGTGAGCTTGCCTTCCTTCTCTCCACCTTCAGCTGAAGACTGTCTGCTCCTGACCAGGATTCCCAAGGTCAAGTGCCTGCGCAATGACCGGCGGGAGGGTGAGTCCTTAGACCCTATTCCTTGGGAAGCATTCTCACAGCAGGCCAGCGAGGCCCTGCTGTGCTCCTGATGGCTGGGGCCAGGGTCTACAGGAGAGATTCCTCCTTCCCAGGCCCGCCCCTCTCCTGGCATGACTGTCCATCTAGCTCTGGTAGACCTTGTTGTCTCTTCTGAGATGCGGGAGAACAGTGCCTGTCTGTCTAGCTAGGTTATTGTCAGCATTAAACTAGATAGGCCGTGTGGAAAGGCTGTGGTCTGGAACACCAGCCACAGCATGGCATTGAGCACAGCACTCTAAGGGACGACAGAGAAGTACAAAGCATGGTGCTGGTCCTTGTGGCCAAGGGGTTTAAATCTGTCACAGCAACAGGCTGGACATAGTTATATGGAAATAGCATCACTGTCAAGAGAGAGGGAGCCCACGGAGAGCTGGAGAGAGCCGAGAATAAGGAGTGGGCCTTGGTGGCGGAGTTGAGAGAGGGGGACAAAGGTGAAGGGAGCCAGGGAGGGCAGGCTAGGCTGGGGTGCTGCCAGCAGACATCAGGCAGGTAGAGTGCTAACAGCCCCTCCAGAAGCCGCTTAAATTCCAGGCTCTCAGAGGGAGAGCCCCCTACAGCTCACAAGGCACAGGGAGCTGCCTTAGCAGGGGCGTGACCAGCTGGGCGCAAGGAGCTGTCCAAAGCAGTCATTGAGCTCATCGGGTAGCGTGGGTAGACAAAGAGCAGAACCTAACCCATGGAAGGTGTGTGGGATACCAGGCTCTCTCCTTGTTGTCCTGTTTGCTCCTGATAGACGGGGAGCATTTTCTTTCTGAATCTCCTAGACAGGAAACCTGAGGTTCAAAGAGGCTAAGTGCCATGTTCTAGGCGAGCACAGGGGCTGGCATGCAGACAGCATAGTCTGGAGGCTTTTATGGTGATGTGGCTGGAGGGGGGGACCACCTAGAGGCTCCTGGGAGGTGAGGGACAGGCATTGTAGCCCAGTTGCCCTTGCATTCTCCACTCACTGAACTGATTGTTGGTCTGATACATGGATGGCATTCAGGGCATGACCCCGGGGTCATGAGAGCAAGAGGGGGACACAGTGAGGCAGGCAGGAAGCCAACAGAAGCCACCAGGAAGGTGCACTCACAGGCATCTGAGGCATCATCCCAGTTCCTGAGGGACTCTGGGGCGATAGCTGAGAAGCCAGTCTGGTTCACCGCCAGCAGCCAGTCCCCGACCCCTCCCATTGCAGGGCTGATTCGGTCTCGAGTCCGAGGGGCAGATGTGGCCAGCGCTACCATCCTCACCTTTCTGGACAGCCACTGCGAAGTGAACATCGAGTGGCTGCAGCCCATGCTGCAGCGGGTGAAAGAGGTGAGCCGGTCCCCATCCCTGGGGATTTGTGAACAGGGGCTTGTCACGTGGGCTGGTGGAACACGTTGGGAAGCTGGGCTGAATGCTCTGCTTCCCGCCCCCCACCGTGCCATCCCAAGTGACATCACTCACTGAGCTTTCCTATCCGAGAGTGGGGATAATTGTGATGTTTGCCTGGTTGGGACAGCTAGACGGGGTGAAGCGAGGGAGACCCGGGTGTGTGCTGAGGCCCTGTCTGTACATGGGAGTTGTTTATCTCCTGGAGGAGGCAGTGCCCTGGGTTGGAGGGAGGGTTGCTTGAGCTTGGAGGCCATAGAGAGTGGAGGGAAGCAGGCGAAGGGAGAATCAATGATGAGCACAAATCTGAGAGCTTGCAAAAAAAAGCAAAAAAAAGAAGCAAAGGACTGTCCAAGAGCTTGGACCCTTGCACCCATGTGGGAGACCTGGCTCAGTCCTTGCTGCTGTGGCCATTTGGAGAGTGAATCAGAAAATGGAAAAAAAATCTCTTTTTCCTGTCTGTCTCTCCCTCTCTTTCTGTGAGTCTGCCTTTCAAATAAATAAATAACTCTAAAAAGAGAGAAATGGGTGGGAGGGGCAGACTTTTAGAACAGAGATGAAGCTGTCAGGACACCTGCCTTCCATACAAACACCTGGGTTCAGCCCCCGATGCTGGCTCCTGATCCCTGCAGGTGCACACTTGAGGATGGAGTGCTGCTGGCCCAAGTAACTGAATCCCTGCCAGCCGTTTCTGGCTCCTGGCTTCGTCCCCCTGGCTGTTCAGGGTGTGTTTCAAGTGAGCCTGCAGGTGGGAGCTTGCCGTCTCCATCTATGACTTTTCTTCTCAAAATAATTTTTAAAAAATAAATAAAGTTACTCTGGTGCAAGCATTTCAAAATCCGCACATAGGTTTTTTTTTTTCATAATACACATTTTCAGTGAAGTTTTTGAAGACATCTTCTATGCATGAGTTTCAGATTTTTTTGCACCAAAATAAATGTGCCATTTCCATGAACATTTGAAGTCTCCTCACATAATTGAGAAAAATAAAAACCCGTGTCTGTACGAAAGCTCGTCCACCCACGTTCAGAGCAGCGCTATTCAGAAAAACCAAAAGGTGGAACCACTCCGTTGCTTAGCAGCCGAAGGAAGGATACCCAAACGGTGTCCGTAACTGTGTTATCCACCCATAGAAACACATGAAGGATGGTGCAGTGAGAATGAATTTGAAGTCCTTGTGCAAAATAAAGTCCAGGCACAAAAGGCCACATATTATGTATTAGATGTTCAAATAAACATGTCTGGAAATCAGAGGTCGGTCAGGGTGCTCACTGAAGTGATGAAAACATTTGCCACTTGATGGTGGGAAGGCCGCTACAACCTTGTGCAGGTGCTAAAGCCCCCTGGACTTCTGAAAGCCTCCCTTCCCTTTTGGAATGGTGAACTGTGTGGTGGGTGCATTGGAGCTCAGCATGAAAAAAGTTTATAGAGAAGATGTGTGTTCCTTCCCCCGCCCTAGGGGGCGCTGAACCCCTGAACTGCTCTTCACATGTTCTCCATCTGTTATTCTGAGACTAGATGAATGGAGGGACAGAAGGGGTTCCAAGAACAGACCAGAGGATCTTGAGGTGAAAGAATAGAGAGGAAGAGAGAGTTGAGCATCTGGTTCCCCCATGAGGGAAGCAAGAAGACAGGAAACAAGAAGACAGGTCTCTGGGGAGACCCCTCCTCCCTGGGTTGGTGTACATTGCTAAACATGGTGAATGACATCATGCATCACCAGCACCCCAAGAACTCAGTGAAATCCACTTGACTCACCCACTGGGTGGGCTTGTGTTATGGGGGGTGCTGAAGGCAATGTTGGGTCTGATCTTGAAGCGGCTATGGCTGGTTTCCATAGGGACCAGAGGGTCTGTGCCCTCAAGCTGCTGGTGGCCCAGCTGGAAAGACTCAACCCCAATATTTACAGAGATGAATGACAATGAACAACAAAGAAGCCCCAACCAGCAGCTGAATCGGCCACCTCGGGCAGGAATTGTCTAGACTATCATCATGAACACAGCTTAGAAGAGGAAGTGGGCTGTTAGCCTGCCAGTCGTCAGGAAAGGCTTTGCTGAGGGGGGCAGAATCCCAGTGGGGCTCAAGGACTGGAGAGGAGTGTGCTTAGGAGACCCAGGTGTGACCTTCCAGGAGCCAGGGGCCAGTGGTAGAACAAATCACTCCAGGACACCCCTGAGCCCATCCTGCAGGAGGCACTGGGACCTGTCAGACCCATTTCCCCAGAGCAGCATCTGGGCCTATGTTTGCAAAGGAGTCTTATGCCATTGTGCATCTCCTCTCCTAGGACCACACCCGCGTGGTGAGCCCCATCATTGACGTCATCAGCCTGGATAATTTTGCCTACCTCGCAGCATCTGCTGACCTTCGTGGAGGTGGGTTCTGCTCCCAGGGCATTGGTTCTAGGCTTGAAAAGCAGCAGGTGAGGTTAGGTACCCTTCCCCATGGTGCCAGGGTCCTATGATCCCCCCACCTTGTTGTCAAAAAGGGATTGTTTGGAGCCCTGGGGTTGAGGGCAAAGGGCTGGCAACTGCAAGAGCCACATGGACCCCTCCTCTTTCCTTCTCCCCTCCCCACCCTGTAACGCTGTCAGTCCCAAGAGGATCTTGCCACAGTCCTGGACACAGGTTATAATGTGACAGCCGTCCTGAGAGTGGGGCTGGGGGAGCCCTGAGCTGCCATGAGCCCTTAGCAGTCACATCCCAGAGATGGGCAAGACACCTGTTGTGTCACCGTGTCGTAATATGGTGGCTCTCAGCCAGGGTGGCTCTTGAGATAAGTGTCAAAACGTTGGAATTGAGATATGCCGTGGGCATAAAAACACACACCAGGTTTCCAAGACTTAGTGTGAAAGAATATAAACTATCTCCTTAGTAAATGTTTATGTTGACTATATGTTAACAGGATAGTATTTTGAATATGCAAGAGTGTTTCAAAAACTTTGTGGAAAATTCAGATTAAAAGCTAATTTCAATGCAAAAAAGAAAATCAAAATCCATGCCCAGTTCTTTCATAATACATATTTCATGAATGTCTTAAAGACTTCTTGTCTGTGTGGATTTTGATTTTTTGGGAGGGACCAAAATAAACTTATCTCTGAATTCCATTTTTCATGAACATTTTGAAGTACCCTGGTATTTCATTAAAATTCTTTATTCAAATTAGTCTCATATATTCTTATTCTTTGGCTAGGATGATGAGATCCTTTTAAATTCCATTTGTGGCTTATATTGTGTTTCTTTTGGACCACTCTGGTGTCAGTTCTAAAGCTGTGCTGTTGAATGCAGTTAACAATAGCCGCATTTGACCATTTGAATGACTTAAAGGGAAGTCGAATTTGAAATTCAGTCCTTTTGTTGTTCTTAGCAGCATTACAAGTGCTCAAGCGCTACATGGGGTTAGTAGCTACCACAGTGTATAATGCAGGCAGAATATTTCCATATGAGACAGTTCCTGCCCCCTGTGACTCTGGTGTTGGAGCCAGTTGGCTGTAGGGATTTCCCATTTGAGGCCTGGGCTCCCAGTTAATGGACCCAGCCGTTGGTTAGTTGTTGGGGTTGAGGGGTTAGCCAGGCATTTCCATATTAGGAACTTGGGGGCCTTGTGTATCTGCTGTGGCCTCCGCCTGGAATTCGCTGTCCTAGAATATCTGCCTGGGACCCTGCTATAGTGCAGGTATTTCCTCAAATGCACCTTCACTGCCTTGATGTGGGATCCCCTCCTTTTACCCTAGACAACATCTCCACCCACCTGTCTCTGTAGCCAAGGTCTCGGGCTCACCCAGTGGGGCGTAGACTCCATAAGGACAGAGGCTGGCGTCTTCTGAATGTGGAGCCTTGCATTCAGAAACCCATGCATGCAGAGCCCAGGCTCCTCCTCCAGTGGGGGAGGCTGCCCTGAGCCACGCCTTCACTCTGCTCTGGTCCTAGGATTTGACTGGAGCCTGCATTTCAAATGGGAGCAGATCCCCCTGGAGCAGAAGATGACCAGGACAGACCCGACCAAGCCCATCAGGTCAGCCTGCTGTGGGTTCTAGGGAGACCCCTCTTCCCTGGGTTGGTGTTCAACTGAAGTACTGATGGTTTGGGGCCTTCGGACCCAGCCTGCAAGAGCAAAGAGGACAGAGGCCGCGGGAACAGGTATAGGAGCTTAGGGGTCCTTAGCCACATGTCCTGCCCTAGTGACTTTGCAAGCAGGTGTGTGAGGACCAGTGACCTTGGGTCTTGGAGTTTCAGGAAGGGCTCCCAGCTTTTCCAGCTCACGTGTCACTCCCCCCTCACCAATCTCCCCTTCTTGTTCCCAGGACGCCTGTCATAGCTGGAGGAATCTTCGTCATTGACAAGGCCTGGTTTAACCACTTGGGAAAGTATGATGCCCAGATGGATATCTGGGGTGGAGAGAATTTTGGTGAGTTGAGAAATAATGCCAGCAGGTGCAACAGCAATTCTAACCATAGTCACCCCTTACCCCAGTGCCTTAGGAAGTAGTTTAATCCTAAGGTCCACTGATATAAATGCTATTAACATCCATAGTACTGATTAAAACAAATACACCAAACCCTAAGGCACAGGGAGGGCTAGCCGTTTGTCCAGAGCCACACAACCAGCTAACACAGAGGTCTGGCAGTCTGGGGGAGTCGAGGGCCACGTGGTCCAGCAGAGAGGTTGAGAGGGTTGGAAGGTGGCAGTGGGTCACAAGGCTTGAGAACGCACCCAGCCCTTGCCACCTGCAAGCTGCTTGGCCCCGGATGTGTGACACTACCTCATTGAGGCTGGGGAATTGACAGGTGGGAACATAGAGACGGGGCTGGCGGCCACTGGCTGGACCTGTGCGCTCACTTAAACATGCAGAGTGAGTGAGGTCTGGGGCACTATGCTTTGCAGGGCTGTAACTGCCAGGAGCTAGGAGATGCTGGGAAAGCACGTCCCTATAGTTTTGGGTTGTGGGCTCTTGGGGAAGAGGCAGAGGGAAAGACCTGCCTCTACTCTCACCTCGTTTTCCAGTGGGCAGTCTCCCAGACAGAGCAGGGTGGGGAGTCACTGACAGGTCCCTGGGAACCTGAACAGCTCCAAGTCTGTCTGGGAAGGACCCTGGCACCAGGTCCCACCCTCCTGGCACACTGCCTTCTTTTTAGCCCAGCCAGGTTTCTTGGCCAATCAGCAGGGCTGGTCTGTATGTCCTCCATTAGACAGGTAGGAAAACCAGTGCAGTGGAGACAGGTGGGGTTGGGGTTGGGCATGGGCCATCCCTTCATTACTCACCATTTTCAGGCTGATGTTTGGAAGAGGTGCCGTTGAGTGCCTATTCGTCCAAATGCCCTTTTATGGGTTTGGGGCCCAAATGATCCCCTTTGTGTCATGGGCCCCCCTAGGGAGCTCTGCCTGTCCGGGTTCCAGAAAGCCTTTGGAGGCTGGGAAGCTGCCATTCTCGAAGGCTTTCTTTTCTTTCTTTCCTTCTCAGGCTGGGGATTGATGCAGAAACAAGTGAATGATCAAATAGCGCCCTCCCACCTCTGCCGGAGGCCAGTGCCCAGTGCTGGGCAACTTAAAGGGGAACCACTGAGTGGTGCTGGCAAGGGTTTTGTTTCTTAGAAGAAATTCAAAGAAAGGTCCAGGCTGGCTGCTGTGCTCAGACTCCTAGGCCTGGGCCTTTTTTTTTTTTTTTTTTTTTAATTCTTTGTTGAAGGAAAGGAGATTTCACAACCAAGACCTGTTCCTGCATCCTCAGGCCTCTGGGGACAACCAGACTCTGCAGCTCAGGGGCCACCTTGAGGGGGCTGCTGAACCTGCAAACTTTGGGATACAGGTTGGGGATTCTCTGAAAACCTAGCTAGGCACAGGCACTGATGGTTCAGCCACCCACCGCCCCCCGTGGGAGTGCCTGGCTTTGAGGCCCAGCTGCCGCTCCTGACTCTAGCTTCCTGCGGAAGCAACCTTGGGGAGGCATTGATGATTGCTCTCATAATTAGGTTCCAGCCTAATGATTAGATCTGGATTTAGTTCCCAGCTCCTAGCTTCAGAAGCCCAACCTAGTCTAGGTCACAGACATTGTGGGCACTTGGGGAGCGAACCAGCAGGTGGTAGCTCATTCTTCTCTCTCTCTCTTACTCTCCCCACATATTGTCTCTTTGTCTCTCGAATAAATAATAAAAGTTAAAAACAAAGCCCGTAGCTGGATCATATTCCTTCTCTGCCCCAAATCTGCTCCCATGTCCGCTCAGAGCAAACCTGAAGACCCTACTGGGACTACCAGGCCTGTGTTAGCAGTTTTTCCCAGCACAGCTGTAGCCCGTGAACCCTGCCCTCACCTTCCACTTCTCTCATCCTACCTCACTCCAGCTGCCCTTGGCCTCCTTGTTGCCCTTGAACTTGCCAGCCTTTCATTCAGACCCTGCCCCTGGGCTTGGGGTGCTCATTCCCTAACAACACAGTGTTGCACTCCCCCCTCTGTTTCAGTTCCCATGTCCTCTTGTCAGTGAGCGTGTCCCTAACCAACTTCATTAGAAACACGGCACCCCTACTCCACACACACCCCTTCACCCTCTGCCCTGGTTAAGCTTTCTCCAATGAATCTGTTGTAGAGAGTGGAAATCTGCATCTTTTACTTATTTTCTTTCTTGTTACTTGTGTATTTCATTCATTGTTTGAGTACTTGGATCCCTCCACCTGGTAAGAGGGAATCGCAAACAGTGTATGATAAATAGCCAGTAATAGATGCTCAGTAAAAGCTTGTGATTCTGATTCAAAGCAGGAGCTATCTTTGACACAACTTGCAGAGGTCAGCTTCTGGCTGTTACAGTCATTCAAGGAGTGATAGCAGATGGAAGATCTCTATGTCTCTCCCTCTCTCTGTGTCATTCTGTCTTTTAAATAGATAAAATAAACCCTGTCCAAAAAAAAAAAAAAAAAGACTACCCAGGATGGAATAGGTTTGTCTGGACACCCAGTTCTGGAGGCCCAAGACCCAGGGCCCCCACCCGCTACTGGCTTCCCATACAGCCAAGCCTGAGGCAGCCCAGAGAATCCAGGGCTGGGAGACAGGAGCGCGTGCGTCAGCACCTCCCTGTTGTCTCTCTGTGTGAAGCCAGCCAGCAGCATTCAGTCACAGGGTCTCCATTCTAATAACCTAAACTCACCATAGACCCCTCCCTGGAGGCCTCATTTCTAGACACCATCATTGGATCAAGTTTCTGCCTTCTTAGTACCATGAAGCTAAGATGTGGGGAAATTAGGGCTGGCATTTTGGTATAGCAGGTAAAACTACTGCCTATAACACTGGTATCCCATGTGGATCCCATTGTGTCCCGGCTATTCTACCTCTGATCCAGCTCCAAGCTAATGCTCCTGAGAAAGCAGCAGATGATGGCCCAGAAGGCCTTGGATCCCTGCCATTCATGTGGGACACCTGGATGAAGCTCCCAGCTCGTGACTTTGGCATGGTCCAGCACTGGCCATTGTGGCCATCTGGGAAGTGAGCCAGAGGGTGGAAGATCTCTGGCTCCCTCTTTCTCTCTGTAACTTTAACTTTCAAAATATATTTTTTAAAAGGGACAGGCAGACTTGGGGTATTAAGCTCCTGCATGTTTGTCAGGGCCAAATCGTATTCAAACTGTGGCATGGAGTTGGTGTGTCCCTGCATGTTTCTGTGTGTGCACGTGTGTGCACGCACATATGTTTAGGGGGAGATCAACAGGTCAGGAACATGAGCACTTCACTGAGTCAGGCCCAGGAGCTCTGACCCCAGAATTTCCCCACCCCGAGAGACACCGTGGAGAGGAGACCGAGCCCCTTCCCATCGCGCCTCAGGGGGCCTTGCCAGGCAGCTCCTTGCTGGCTGACTCATGCCGTGTCCTGCAGAGCTATCTTTCAGGGTGTGGATGTGCGGTGGGAGCTTGGAGATCATCCCCTGCAGCCGCGTGGGCCACGTCTTCAGGAAGCGGCACCCCTACAACTTCCCTGAGGGCAATGCCCTCACCTACATCAGGTGGGTGTCAGCGGACAGGGCAATGGATGGGGAATGACACACCTGGGCTCTAGACTCCAGTTCTGCCGCTTACTCAGCATATAACTGCACATACACCACTCCCTTTTCACTTTTTGGGCCTTGGTTTCCCCATTTGTCCCCTGCCAGATCTGACATTCTGGGATTGTGGGAACTCCAGGGGTGGGACAAGGAAGCTGCCAGCAGGCCTGCCTTGGTCCCTGGTCATCTTGGACCGAGATGTTGATACCAATTGACTCTCTTGCTGGTGTCAGAGCTCAGCTCTTCGCAGTGAGGACTTCCCAAAGCTTCCCAAGAAGAAATAAAGTCCTCTCCCTCCCTGCTTGCTTTTTATGCATTCCCATAATAGCCTACATATTTTACTCTCTGAGTTTTGCTGCTGCCCTCTCTCTCTGACTCCCAGGTGCTGGTTTTGGGTGCCAGTATCCTGACCCTGATTGATCAGGTGTCTGTCCAGCCAAGTCCCCAGGTACAGGATGCACCTGCTTCTGGGGACATGGCTATGGCCTACACTCACGGACCTACCTGTCCTAACGGAATAGCTAAGGCAGGGTAGCTGAGACTTTCGTCAGCCTACCTCGTCCCATTTTTATAACAGTGATTCATGTTCACTGCAAAAATTCAGGGAGTGCCATTGTCAATGTCAGATGCACAGACCCATGCAGGTTCAGTGAGGATCCAGTTCCTCACACTGTGGAAGAGAAGAAGCCAAAGTGGTTTTGGCCCAGCTTCCTCCTGGGTGGCCCGCTTAGCTCTACAGGAGTAACTGCTGTTCTCAGCCAGCAGCTCTGCACCTCTGCCTCTGTGGATCATATGCACAGAGACTGACACACACAGCCTCAAGGCTGTGCTGCCGCTTTTATGGAAAAGGAAATGGGGCCAGGCTGCAGCTTTCCTGACACCGATGTCTTGGCCACTGTGTGCCGTGTGAGGCAGGGGGCATCAGTTGCGTGCCAACCATGGAGCACCCTTTGTGGAGGCCACCTTGTTCTCCACCAGGTAAAGGGCATTTTGCTGACTGCCAGTGCTTTGTTGCACATGTGCTCTTGAACATGGCCTTGCTGCCACCTGGCAGGCACTGGGTTTCTGCCAAGTAGATTCTTTAGTTAGAGAGTACGCTGGTTTCTGCCTCGCCAGTCCAGGTCGCTTTGCATGCACGCCTGTGCTCCATGGCACTCATCTCCCAAACCATATCCTTCTCGTTGACGAACAGGGAGTTCATGCAACCCTGACTCCGCCTCGCTGTGGCCTTCCCTAGGGACCTTATTCTGCTCTTCCATTCTTCCAGGAACACCAAGCGCACCGCGGAGGTGTGGATGGACGAATACAAGCAGTACTACTATGAGGCCCGGCCCTCCGCCATCGGGAAAGCCTTTGGCAGGTGGGCGCCTGCCCTTTACCCCCTTGTCTCCCTCCCTCTATGTGGGTGCCACCACAGGTCATCTCCCTAAAGATAGCCCTCACTAGGGCGGGCTCCCCTGGATCCCAGGAGAGCAAGACCTGGGTCCTGCAGGTGCCTGCCACTGCCCAGGCTAAGGCCGTGAGAGAATACTGCTTGGTGCCCTCCACTGCTGCTGGCAGGAACAGGGACACCCGTGGGCAGACTCAGGAAGGGACTGTCTGCAGAAAACATTTGGGCTTTCCCCTCCACCGCCTGCTCAGCCCTGGGATCCATTGGCCTGTTTCCCTGTCGTGGGCTGTGAAGACTCCAGTCTAGTTAAGCATTCTCAAAAAGCAGATGGGTTGTGAAAGCAATTTAGTGGGTCGTGATCAGCATTGAAAGAGAGCAGAGGGGGAAGAAGAAAAATACTATGAGTTAGATTAGTACAGAACAGAATGAAAGCTCAGCGTTGATTCCAGCGAGGGCTAAACATTGTGTTAGGAAATTCTCAGTGGCGTGTGTGTGGTGTCCTACACAGGTGCATAGTGTGTCTTGGATCACAGTGGAGGACATAGCAACAGTCTTCAAAAATACATGGAAAATGTGCACGTGTGTCTCCTTTTTCAGCGTGGCCACACGGATCGAGCAGAGGAAGAAGATGAACTGCAAGTCCTTCCGCTGGTACCTGGAGAATGTCTACCCAGAGCTCACGTGAGTGTAATAGGCCTGACCCTGGGGAGGAGGCTGGCAGCCTGATGACCCCTGCCTTGAGGTACACGCTCCTCCTAGCCCCTGGGGTTTGCCTTCATGTGCAGGCCCTGGGAGGGAAGACTGAGAGACCATTTCCAGGAGTTGCAAAGCGGATGTGGCAGAAACTTAGGGATCGGTTCTTACGCCTCAAGAGGGACGTTATTCCATACTTCGGAATGCAGCCCTGCAACTGAGGCCAAGGCCACAGACGCAGCTGTCCTCTTTAAACTGGCTCTCTCCCTCCTGGGGGGAGTGCATCCTAAGGATATAAAGCAGCCAGGACAAAACGCTGCTGACCACTGGCCACAACAGCCAGCTTGCCAGCCATGGGTGTAAATAAACCAGTCATTTGCTAATATAATCGTAAGGGCTGTCAAAGCACGAGAGCCAATGAGAACAAAGCGAAGTGCCAATGGCACGTGCACAGAGGTTCTTTTCATGTTTAAGATTTATCTATTTGATAGGCCGAACAGCAGAGAGAGAGGAGAGAGGGAGAGAGAGAGATCTTCTGTCTGCTCCTTCACTCCCCAAATGGCTATTACTGCTAGAGCTAGACCAGGCTGCAGCCAGGAGTAGGAGCTTTCTCCAGGTCTCCCACGTAGGTGCAAGGACCCAAGGGCTTGGGCCTTGTCATGAAAAGATCTGTGTACTTTGGTGCCCATCCAAAAAATGATTGAAATCCATGAATACAAGCAGTCTTCAAGAAATGTACAGAAAATGAGTATTAAGGAGAAAACTGAATTTTTTGCACCAAAGTAAACATATCTTCTTTGCTAATAAATTATTTGAGAGACAGAAATAGAGCTCCCTGCCATGTGTTATATTCCTCAAGTGCCCCCAAGCTGACGCAGTGGGAGCCAAATCTGGCAACTAGGAGCTCTATCTGGGCCTCCCACACGGGTGGCAGGGACTCAGCAACTTGAACCAACCCCATGCCACGCCGGGGGGCATCGGCAGGAAGTTGAGGTTAACAGTGAGAGCCAAGAATTAAACCCAGAGAAGGAGACAAGTGCCTTCACTTCTTGGCCCAGTGCCCGTTCCAAAATGAGCATTTCATTCCCTTTTCCATGAACTTTTTGAAACTCCCACATATCTGCCAGGTAGTTCATTTTGGTATCATTTCCCCATGATTTAGCTCCATGATTTTTCTTGAGTTTGCTCATTGCTTTATCTGCCATAGTTGCAAAATAGTCACCTGGCAAACACTTTGAGGAAGTGGTGTGACCAGAATGGCTCAGGGATGTCTGAAATGAGCATGGTCCCTCAATAGCCCTCACCTTGGGGAACAGAACTGACCTACCCCAAGGTCACTGCCTGGCTTTCTGGAATGTTCCACCCCTCAAAGTTTACATATCCTTGAGAAAAGCAATCTTTTCTCAATCTTTGTTTTTTGAGGACAGGCTTAATTATTTTTGGTCAACAGCCATGGAGAGGTTATAGCCAAGTCCAGTGAATAAGCCAGATGATTAACTCGGGTAATAGAATCCCCAGTCCTAGATATGGCCTGCCTCTGTCGACTCTGCTTGCTGTTTCCAAGAAATTCCAGAGCCATCTGAGAACAGCAGCATCTTTGGAAGCAAGCTGACAGCACCGAGAGCCCCTGGCTCCCTGGACAATAGCTTTGAGAGGAAGGTCATGAATTTCTAACTCGGCGATAAATGAGCAGCTTCCTGAGGGAACTGCTTTTAAGGGGATAGTGTTAGTTGCCGTGTGCCATTTCAGAGAGGCTGAGGGGGAGAAGTTCCTCTTTTACTTCCTGTCAGAGGTCACAGGGCATTTGTATGGAGCCTAGAGACCCCTGGACCAGCAGCAGGAGCTGAGAAGCTCAACGGTGAGAGACCTGGGAATGTATCCTTCCTTTCCACGCCACATTCCCTGGCACAGGGTCCCCTGAGGACCAAGAGGAGAAAGTGCTCTGTCTGAATCCTGATCCAGGGGGCAGATGGTTAGCACAGCAGTTACAACTGCCTGGGGCACTGAATTCCAGATCGGAGTGCCTGGGTTCAAGTCCTACCTGACTCTCCATTCCAGCATCCGACTTATGTGCACCCCAGGAGGCAGCGGGTGACAGTTCATGTGGTTTTGCGTGAGGGACCTGGATGGAGATCTGGGCTGTCACTTAAGGTCTGGCCCAGCCATGATTGTGGAGGGCTTTTGGGGGATGAACCAGCGGACGGACGATCCCTTGGTCTGCCTTTCAAATCAATAACAATCTTGAAAAGAAGGAGAAAGAAACCTGGATGGATCACAAGACAGAGAATGCGGGAAGCTGGCTCTATTAAATGAAGTGCCTGAGTCATCTTTGGTTTGCTCTGTCACCATGTGACTGCTGGGAACTCCAGAACTCATTCCTCCCTGGGTCGCTGAACCCTGGCTCCTGAGTGTAGGAACCAGGCGAGGGTAGAAGAGGTGGGTTAGGTGGGAGATCCCAAGGCTCGGGGGCGGGGGTGCAGATCCTGAGCGGGGTGCACACTTGCAGAAGCTCAGTGGAAGGCTGGCCTGCAGGAAAGTGCTCTGTAGTCAGCCTCAGCCACAGCAAATTCCTGATGATAATTAGGAAGAGCAGCAGGAACGGTTGTGCAGGCTGTGCACTGTGTAAACCCACCCTATTTGGGAGGGTACCAGTTACAAGCAGACGTGACACATTGATTATATTTCCAAGCAGATGATGATAAACACCCCTCATCTAACAAAATCCGTATATTAGGACAGGTTTCTTTTTTCTATAAATATTTATTTCTTTGAAAGGGGGAGAGAGAGAGAGAGGAATCTTCCATCTGTTGGCTCATTCCTCAAATGGCCACAGTGGTCAGGTAGAAGCCAGAAGCTTTGAACTGCACCTGGGTCTTCTCACATAGGTGCCAGGAACCCAAGAACTCAGGATTATCTCCCATTATTTTCTCAGGTGCAGTAACAGAGAATTAGATAGGAAGTGGAGCAATTGGCACTAGAACCAGTGCCCATATGGGATGCCAATGTTGCAGGCGGGGGCTCAATCCATGGAGTCACAGTGTCAGCCCCAAAGTCACTTTCCCAACAGATGGAAGTGGATTTTCTTGAGGAAAGGGCATCCTAAAGTTTAATGGCATCCTCCCTTCAAAGGGCTTCCCTAAAAGGAAGCAGCTGCAGACCTAAGCCCTACTCCCTCCCCGTGCCACCACCACCACCACCAAGCTGCACTCTTCTGAGCAGAGACCTCCAGGAGGCCTTAGCAGGCACTGTGTTCCCGTAGACAGGAAGAACATGACCTGTGGCCCCTGGCCAAGGCACCCACAGTGTCTTGCACCTTGCAAACTCCAGTTCTTTCTGATGGGCCAAGTGACAAAAGAAAGTCAAGGGGGTCAGGGAGAGACAATAAGGATTTGTGAGGCCTGTGGCAAACTGGGAGTGCAAAAGTCCCAAGCGGCAGCAGCTGCCATGTGAATTCAGTATGGTCTGATCTTTTTTTCAAATAGAGCCAGTCCAGGTTTTTCTTCAAATGTTGTGATTTTTGCCAACTAATAAAAAGCAGCAACCACTGCATGGTGCAATTGGGGCAAACTGGGCCAGAGTTAGCCAGGGGCACCAGGAATGCTTAGCCTCTGCTCTGGAGCTCTGCACCCTACAGCCCAAGAGTCTGGAGGAGGCATGAGAGAGAAAGTGGGATGCTTCCACCCAGGCCCTATGGGTGAGGCAGTTTTGGGTCTCCATGGGCTTCCAGACAGCCTGAGGAAGGAAGAAGGTCCTGGCTCGACAGAGAGGCTACTGGGTATCCACATCAAAGAATGCCTGCTCTGCCCACCTCCCACCCGGTGTTGGTGAGGCCTGTCCCTGCCCACAGAGACCTGGGTGGACCAGCAGGGAGGGCAGAAGCCTAGCCTGACTGCCATCTTTCCTCTCAGTGTCCCCGTGAAGGAGGTACTCCCGGGCATCATTAAACAAGGGGTCAATTGCTTAGAATCCCAGGGCCAGAACACAGCTGGTGACTTCCTGCTCGGCATGGGGATCTGCCGGGGGTCTGCCAAGAGCCCCCCTCCAGCCCAGGTAAGCAGCCTAGGACCTGGGGTTGGCCTGGGAGTGGGAGAGCAGCCAGGGGCACGGGGCGCTAGTTGAGTAAGGGGCTTCCTTCGGCACATCCTGTCCCTGGGCCTTCCTTAAGGGGCCCACACTCTGTGCCTGATATGTGAGCTTCTCCTTGCAGAGCAGGATGTGTGACCCCAGTGGTCCCTGGTTCTCCCTTGGCAACAGACTTCTGAAACTCCTCGGTGCAACTTAACAGTGTCAAGGCTTGCCTGCATCAGAACCGGAGCAGGGGACAGGCCCAGCAGTTAAGGCTCCAGGAGGGACATGCATGTCCCACACTGGAGTGCCTGGGTTCAGCTCCTGGCTCCGGCTTCACTAAGCAGACCCTGGGAGGTGGTGATGACGGTTACTCGCCTCGTCTATGGGAGACCTGGGTGACACTCCCAGCTCACCACTTGGGTGTCCAGCTTTCGGGGAGTGGCCCAGCAGAGGACAGTGTTTTCTCTTACTTTCTCTCTCAAATTTAAAAATAGAAGAAAAAAGGGCATGGTGCAGTAGGCTAGCAGCTAAAGTCCTTGCCTTGTACATGCCAGGATCCCATATGGGCACTGGTTCTAATCCCAGCAGGTCCGCTTCCCATCCATCTCCCTGCTTGTGGCCTGGGAAAGCAGTCGAAGATGGCTCAAGGCCTTAGGACCCTGCACCTGTTTGGGAGACCAGGAAGAAGCTCCTGGCTCCTAGCTTCGGATTGACTCAGCTCAGGCTTTTGTGGTCACTTGTGGAGTGAATCATCGGACGGAAGATCTTCCTCTCTGTCTTTCCTCCTCTCTGTGTATCTGACTTTCCAATAAAAATAAATATGCCTTGGGCTCGGCGCAGTGGCGCAAGTGGTTAAGGTCCTCACCTAGCACGCCCGGGATCCCATATGGGCGCCGGTTCTAATCCCGGCAGCCCCGCTTCCCTTCCAGCTCCCTGCCTGTGGCCTGGGAAAGCAGTCGAGGACAGCCCAAAGCTTTGGGACCCTGCACCCATGTGGGAGACCCGGAAGAGGCTCCTGGCTTCGGATCGGCATAGCATCGACCGTTGCGCTCACTTGGGGAGTGAAACATCGGATGGAAGATCTTCCTCTCTGTCTCTCCTCTCTGTATATCTGCCTTTCCAATGAAAAAATAATAAAAATAAATCTTTAAAAAAAATAAATAAATATGCCTTTAAAAGAAGAAGAAACACACACACAAAAGAAAAACACAAAAACAACAAAGACGAAATCGCAAGCGAACAAACATGTGACCTAGAGCAGGTGGTCCAGCTCCCTGGCTCTGCTGATCTTACGTCCTGTCAGTCTCCCTTCCCCCAAATCCCTTGGTGCATGGCTCCAGCCCAGCTATGCCCACCTCCAACATGTCTGTTTTTATTGGAAAGTCAGATTTACAGAGAGAAGGAGAGACAGAGAGAAAGTTCTTCTGTCTGCCGATTGATTCCCCAAGTGGCCACAATGACCAAAGCTGAGCTGATCTGAAGTCAGGAGCCGAGAGCCTCCTCTAGGTCTGTCACACAGGGTCCCAAGGCTTTGGGTCATCCTCAACTGCTTTCCCAAGCCACAAGCAGGGAGCTGAATGGGAACTGGCGCAAGCCAGGAGTTGAGCTGGCACCCATATAAAATCCTAGAGTATGCAAGGCAAGAATTTTAGCCACTAGGCTATCGCACTTGGCCCTCCAATATGTTCTTATGAAAAGCTTAAAATATAGAGAAAAATGGGAAGAATTATACAGTGAGTACCAATGTGCCCACCTCTAGTCTCTATAATTATTAGGAGAAAATTCTACAAAACATGCAGTGTACAAGCATACTCAAAAAGTTTGTAGAAAAAGCAGAATTTAAATATATGAGGCTTTTTTTCTTCTCTCTCTCTCTCTCTCTCTCTCTTTTTTTTTTTTCCCAAGGTTTGGAAACCCATGCAGAGTTTTTTTTCATTATCCATATTTCTCATGCCCTCTTTGAAGACCTGTGTATGGACTTCAACATAACATTTAAAACAACATTTACAACAAGTTATCATTTCATTCCATTTTCGTCAACTTTTTTGGAGTAGCCTCCTATTTATTTTGTCACATAACTATGGCATATATTCACTTAGCACTGGTTTTATGATCTAGAATGTTTACTAGATTGTATTTATTTGGTAGGCAGAAAGAGAGAGAGAGAGATCTTCCATCTGCTGGCTCACTCCCCAAATACCAGGCTGACCCCAGGAGCCCGGAGCCTGGGTTGAGTTTATCTCCAGGAATCCCGTAGGGGCACAACCACCTGGACTACTGGCTGCTCCCCACCAGGCGGAGGTTTAACAGGAAACTGTGATCAGGAGTAGATCAGGGCTCGAACCCAAGGAGCTGGTTTGGGATGTGGCCTTCACAAGGAGCAGCTTAATCGTGGGTCCAGATGCCCACCCAGGGGCGGTATGTTCTGACTTGCTCTTCCCGCTCCTCATCTGCAGGCCTGGCTCTTCAGTGACCACCTTATCCAGCAACAGGGCAGGTGCCTGGCCGCCACCTCCACCTTAATGTCCTCGCCCGGCTCCCCAGTCATGCTGCAGGCATGCAACCCCAGAGAAGGCAAGCAGGTAAGTCTCCTCACCCCGGGAGGGCCACGCAAGAACTGGGCGCCCAGCCTTGGCAGGTGGAGACCTGTAGGCTCAAGCAAGCCATCTTTGGTGAGGTTCCTAGGGCCTACGGCACTGTCTGTACCTTACTCATGAGCAAAGACTTTGGCAAATGTCTAACATGTTTGCTAGTGCCTGTCGAGCTTTGTGAGGCCAGTGATGGCAAGGGGACTCGCTCAGAGAGTTCCGGGACAGTGAAATTAAAAGATCAATTTGTTTGGTGGCCACTGTCGTGGTGAAGCAGGTTAAGTCGCTGCCTGTGACATTAGCTTCCCATTGCAGCACCAGTTCATGTCCCAGGTACCTGCAAGGCAGTGAAATATGGTTCAAGTGCTTGGGCCCTGCCACCTACATGGATGACCATGATGGATTCAAAATGAATTTTAAAAAATTTTGCTCCAAACTAATCTTACCTTTCAGCTCCATTTTCCATGAGCTTTCCAAGTTGCCTTCACATCTGTCTCGTTTAAGCTGTGCTCTTGCTCTTGACAACACAGCTCAACAACTTTGCACATACATCGTCTCCTCTATTCTCCTCAGCCACCAGGTGACATGAGTCCTATACATCTGTTTTAAAGATTTATTTTATTTTTATTGGAAAAGCAGATTTACAGAGAGAAGGAAAGACAGAGAAAGATCTTCCATCCACTGGTTCACTCCCCAAATGGCTGCAACAGCCAGAGCTGTGCCTATCCTAAGCCAGGAGCCAGGAGCTGCCTCTGGGTCTCCCACGCAGGTGCAGGGTCGCAAGGCTTTGGGCCACCCTCAACTATTTTCCCAGGCCACGGGCAGGGAGCTGGATGGCAAGTGGGGCCACTGGGATTAGAACTGACGCCCATATGGGATCTCAGTACATGCAAGGTGAGGACTTTAGCTGCTAGGCTACTGCGCTGGGCCCTACTGTCTCCATTAATAGGTGAGATAATTGAGGCTTGCTGAGTCAGATCCCAAATCTGGGAATGGAAAGGAGTGAAACTTGGATTAAGCCGGGTCCATGTGCCTGCTAAACCCACTATCATAAGCTGCCAGTTCACCAACAACAATCCTGTTTTAACTACCAGCTGACTGGGGAACTTGTGCCCCAGACACCCTCATTTCTGAGCTGGCATGGCCAGCGTCATGTGCCTGCTGCCTATCCCATCTGCTCAGGTCCTCCCACTCATACCATCTCTCTGCTAATCCTGGGAGGCAAGGCCACCCAACCTGTCTAGGGTCAGAGAGACTGTCACTTGCTCGGTCCCCAGCAGCTAGTGACAGGGCACAGCTAGAAGCCAGGTTTCCAGTCAGCAGCTCCCTTCCTGCGGGTGGGCTGGGAGGGGGTGGGGAGCAGGGAGTAGGAGCCAAAGGCCAGAGGCTGCCCAGCTCAGCCCTCGCCCACTATTCTTGGTAGCTTCCATGTGCCTGGTGCTGGCCAGCCGGCACAGCGGGTCAGCATGGGGCCCTGGAGGCTGGCTCTCTTACTAACCTGCAGGGTTCTCTGCCTGCCTGTGCTGCCTCTCCCTTCAGGGGCGACTGGCAGTTTGCTATTCCACTCCAGAGAAGCAGCCACTTCCTCTTCCTCCAGCCTGTATATGGCACCTTCTGGAATCTGAGCTTCCCTGCTTGGTCCCCCGTTGTTCCTGTTGCCAAGGCAGATGGATTTCATGCACCCGATGGAGTCAGCAGGTCCCAGCCCAGGTGTTCTCTGCCCCCAGGTTCCCCACTGCTGCCTACTTCCAGCCTGCCCTGTAGGTTTGAGGCTGTGGGAAGGCCCAGAACTGAGTGCGGGGACAGTCAGAGAGGCCCTGGAACTGTGCCTGATAGCACTGGTAGGGAGTGAGAAGCACAACCCAAAGATTGGGCCATTCATGAACAGGTAGACTACTTTATGCTGGGGGCTGTACACATCATGCTGGCCACAAGGATGAAAGAACACACACGTGACCCCAGAGGAGCTAAAGTCTGGTGGGGAAGCAGGGGGAGGACAGAGGCAGCCACCACTTTGCCAGGGGCCTGCTGGCCGCAGAGGGACAGTGAGTGCCATGCCAGGCTGTGCAGTTCAGAGAGGGCACTGGGACCCAGCTCTCCCACCCCAGGAAGTGGGCACATGCTCCCTCTGCTGGCATTGTTCGGGGATTCAATGTCGGGAAAATGGGAAGGCCTAGAAGAGCATGGAACAACAGGATGCTGTGAGACGCAGGGGGCCATGGGCCTTTGCCCACCCACCACTGCAACCTTATGCCCTGTTGGAACTATATGGGTCCAGAGGGGCTGCTGCTTCTCAGCTCTGCATTCGCAAGGGCAGCCCTGGCCCGGCAGCTGGCTCCTCCCCCCTCCCCAGTTACTACAATGAGAACGCCCCCCCCCCCTTACCTCCCAGGGCCCTCGGATCTCCTCCCACACGTAGTTACCAGCATTCCCACCTGCTGTGCAGACCAGGTAGCAGATAAAAGGAGAGAAGACTGCGTAGGAGGGAAAGCAGAATGAAACTAAAAATAAACCTGTCTGGCTGAGTCTTAAAACCTGGGTCTCAGCCTCCTGTCCCTTCTCAGTGTTCCAAATACTCCATTCTCCATCCAGATACTTCTAGAATGTTCTAGAAGGACGCCTCTCTGCCCTCTCCCCACTTCTCCATCCCTGTCATACCTGGGAGGAGATCGGGCAGCAGAAGGTGAAGGGACTGCCCCGGGATCCCCTTTGTGCCTCTGCCTCCCCATCATCCTGCCAGATGCATCATCTTTCCTCAGCTGCCCTCACGGCTCCAGGCCAGGTCAGAGACCCAGAGCTACAGAAACACTTGTACAAACAGGAGATTCACCCGGACTGGGACTCACAGCCTCTTGCGCCTGCTGGTGGGGAACACCTTGTAAGAGGAAAATGTGGTCCAGCCAAGAGCAGAGGCAAACTGGATGGAGAGCGAGAGACTCCCCCTGCCCCAAAGCAGAGATGGAATCCTCAACCCCAACCAATGAGGGTCCTCGGGGCAGGCTTTGGGCATAGCGGCTCACTTCCTATTTGAGTGCGTGGATATGAATCCTGGCTGTCTCTTGATTCCACTTCCTGCTAGGGAGCAGATGACAGCTCAGGTGCTTGGGTCCTTGGCACCTGCCACGGGAGTCCCAGGTGGACTCCTGGCTCCTGGACTCCACCTGGGGCCAACCCTCACCACTCCCGGGCATTTGGGGAATGAGCCAGTGAATAGACGAACTCTTTTTGTTTCCCTCCTTCTCTCTCAAATAAATCCAAATTTCAAAAAGAAAATGTCTACCCAAAAGACAGGAATGTAGATTGTTATGAGGCAACTAAGCCAAATTGTAAATAAACATTTTGCAGGCCAAACACAGTTCTTGGTTGGGTTGGATCCAGCTCCTGGGCCTCAGCATGGAGGTTTCAGGTCTGGAGGGTAACTCTACCAGGCTGCACAAACAGCAGACCCCACTGGGGGAGACCTGGCATAGGGCTGGGGGCAGGACAGCCCCTCATCTGGGGACACGCAGCAGTCTGCTTTCTATGAGAAGGAATGTCCTGGGTATGTGAGGTACTTTCACACATACAAGGGCTCTCCACAAGCTTCATGGAAAACACTGTTTGAGAAGAAAACCAGGCACAGATTTCAGTTTTTTTCTGCACCAAAATAAACTTGATCTTTGTATTCGCCAGCTCCCCTTGCCTGTGAGACCGTGTAACTCCCTGTAAGATGAAGGCATCAAGTATTTTGCATCTTGTTTCATGACTGCTTTCTCACTCCCTTCCTTCCTCCCAGAAATGGAGGCGAAAAGGCACGCTTATCCAGCACTCAGTCAGCGGCCTCTGCCTGGAGACCAAGCCCGGCCAGCTGGCCACAAGCAAGTGTCAGGCCGACGCCCCGGCTCAGCAGTGGCAGCTGCTGCCACACACCTGACGGTAGTTCCCGGATCTCAAGTGGCCTTTGCATGAGACTTTGGGACCAGATTTGAGGGTGGAGGGATTGGGGAGTGACTGAGGCGTGTTTACACTGTCTCCTGCCCCTCCATGATACACACACACACACACACACACACACACACACACACACACACACACACACACGTTTCTCCAGCTGGATCGTGGAGGACGCAGGGGGCATCCCCCATGCCCTTTGTGGCTGTCCCAGCCTTGCCCCAAGGATGGAGATGGTTGGGGTGTAGACTGGCTGGGCAGGTGCCTGACCCTTTGTCCTCCGCTCTGATGCACCCCCTCCACCCCCCAGCAGTGGGGGATGTGGTAGGCCCTTCCTCTCCCTATTGCCTGGGGAACACAAGGACGGAATCCCACAGGGCCCAGCAGGGTCTTGGGGCCTGCCTGTGAGGACAGGTGTGAGAGGTGAAAGTGTGGGGAGGCTGAAGGCTGGGAGGAGGGAAGGCAGGCTCAGAGGGAGCACCTGAAGGGCAAATCAAATACAGGGGTGAGGGATGAGGGTGCCAAGATTGAGTCCAGGACAGTGCTGGATGGGCTGGGTGTGGGAGGGAAGGGATCCAGGAGCAGAGAACAGGGAATTTGTCCAAGGACTCAGAGGGAGGAATACCCGAGTCCCAAAAGCATAAGGGGTCCTCTCCAGGATGTAGCCCTGTCCACACCTGGCCAGCCTTGGGGCTAGAGCCTCAAGATGTCTCCTATCCCAGCTCTGTGGGTGCCCATATACTCAGCAAGAAGCTGCAGGGGGACTTCTAGGGACAGACTTGATGTGTCCTTCATTCAACAGACTTCACTTCTGCCTACTCTCTCTGGGACCTTGATGTCCAGCTGGTGCCCTGGGCCCCTGGGCAGCCCCAGCCTCATTCACACTCTCAGATCCCTGCTTTCACAAAGGCGTTTGCTTCTGTAAATATAGCTCTGTGGGTTGGGGTGACCGGTGGGATTGGGACCTGTTTTTTGGAGCAGGAACAACCCATGTGTCACATAGGGGCTGTGTCACCTGGCTAACCACCTTCTTCCCTTCCCGACTACAGGAAGGATTCCAACGGAAGGCCAGCCACTGCAGAGCACTGGGAGGCTGGCTGGTGGCTCCTGGTTGTGTAGCGAACTCCCAGTTCTTTGTGCCAGCCACTGACAACACATCTACCCACTCTGCTCCATGGCCTTGTCTTGGAACCCCTTCTTGCTGTGCCCCTCTCCCCTACCCACTGGCTCAGGCAGTGGGATTTTGGGCAAGAGACTGTTGGCACCAGGACTCCTGGTGGGGGGCAGGTAGGTCTCCTTCTGAAGCCAAGCAGCCTGGGGAAGACATGGGTATCCTAAGATACCTTTCATAGACTACAGAGTTGTGCACTCATTGGAAGCTCCTGGATTCCAGAAGGTCTAGAAATCTTCCAACAATGACCCCCATCTCCACCACTACCACCCCAATACTGTATGTGGGTGCCTATGTACACTACCATGGAGAAAGGACCTATGGGTTTCCCTAGCTTCTAAAAGGAGGTCCCCTCTGATCCCTAAAGGGGCTGAATCTCTGATCCAGATTGGAGTTGCTGCCTCCTGGTCTCCCTCCCTGGTATCCCCAAACTGCTGTCATCCTGCACACTGCCCGTGGCCCTCGGGCTGGAGCAGTGGGCCGCAGCACCTGTTTCTGGTGGTTTCCTCTAGCTCCTGGCTCTCACCAGCGGCCTCTGTGCAGTGCTCCCACCTGTCAGGGCTCTGCACTCCGGCTGGGTCCCTTGGCTCTCATGGCCACATTTCTCCTTCCTCCCATCCGCTGCCACTGGGGGAGTGCCTTGGACCCCTATTCCTCTAGGAAGCTTCCTGCCACAGCCTAGGACAGAACTGGGGCCTGGGTAGAGGCCCCCCCCTAGAGGCTGTGTTAACCACCTCCGCTCCGGGGAGGAAAGGGACCAGGCTTGGGCCAGCCCTGTGGGGCTAGGAAGCGTGGGCTCCCCTGGTTGAATGTAAGAGGACTGCTGCTCAAAGGGTCTCTCCCTCCACTCCTGTGGCCAAGCCAGACTTTGCCCTCGTCCACCATCCTGTGGAGGGGACGCAGCCCTGTTCTGTTTTGCTTTCCCTCTTGACCAAAGCATGTGCCACTAGCTGTCCTCGAGGACCTCGTCTTTAAGAATTACAAACCTGGAATAAAACCACTTCTTACATGCTCACGTGCACCTGTGTCTTCCTTTCTGAGTCCAGAGCTGTGACCCTGGGGTGCTACCCTCCAGCCTGAGCTCCCAACCAGGCTGGACATGTTCACACCTAACCCTCCCCTCGCCCCAGCTAACTTCTCCACCTGAGCACTTTGGGGAGCCCCAGAGACTCTGGCACTGTCTTGGCTGGAGTGCCATGGGCATTCTGCTGCCATGGATCTAGGCCCAGAGCCCGGGAACCACCTCAGGTCAGATTGAACCAGCTTCTTGTGATCTTACCAGGTACCTTTCAGATTCCTGGAAATGGAAAACTCTGGTGCTCTCTGGATCCAGCCCTGCAGCCTCACTTGCCTTCAGCCAAGCCACCCTCTCCTTTCTCAGAAGCCAGCCCTAGCCCCTCTGAGTTGTCCTTCCCTTCCTGTCCCACACAAGAAGGCCCTGGGCCGAACCAACAGTGACATTTTGGAAAGCATCCCACCCGCCCAACCTTGCATAATTGGATAGCAGATGCCCTGCCTAATGCTTCCATGGGAACCACAGGACCACCCCCCAGCAGTTCTGTGATCAGAAGCTGAACCTGTCAGGTAAAGATAAATGCAGCTGTGATACACCTAAACAGCTGTAGTCTACAGGCCGGGGTAATGCTACTCTCTCAGGGACATGATTTCTGATCTGACCTCCAGCTATGACCGAGGGCTGCAAACCCAGGATTCTCCAGGACTTCTGACTTCTTGTGGGTCCAAGGATGCTGGAGCAAAATGCTGACCCGCTGAGTATACAAGTTGGCAACAGCACCCAGGGCCTGGGATGCCAAGTCACTGCAGAAAGCAGCCCGACTGCCATCCCTGTCCATGTCCATCTGTCCTTTTAGGAGCACAGCCCAGCCCGCTCCTTCCCAAGCCAGGCTGGCTAACCCCTTGGCACCTCACTCCCACTCCCAGCCTGGAAGGGCTGTAGCCCTGGCATCCCCAAGTCAGGTATCCTGTCTTGGTCTTCTCCAAGTTTTTCTTTGTCACATGCTCTCTTCTGGGAACTAAAGTTCTTTGCCTTAATCCTGCCTCACCTCTGGGGGAACTCAGCCAAGCCCTAGGACTAGTCATTAACAACAAGGGTCCTTGCATAATCAGCAGGAGCTGTACCCTGAGCTGCAAGGACATCTGCCCGGGACCAGCCTCGCACTGACCTAACAGGGAGCGATTTCTGGATCCCAGGCTCTTTGTCTACTGTTCAGGAGGGCTCTCCTCACTACACACAGGAAGAAAAACCCAGACACGTCATCACTGCTCTCTAAGGATGCGGGGGTGGTGGTGGGCAGCAGAGCAACCCAAGCCTACTGAGGAGAGGGGCTGTCTTCTAGCTGCAGGGGGGTGTGGTCCTCTACCAGCAGGGAGCAGGGAGGGAAGCTGGAGTTGGTGATGTCCCAGCAATGTTCTCTGTGTCCCCTGTGGATTGAGTCATGTTTTTTTTCCAGGAGGGAGGAGGCCTCTGCTGGCAGGCCTGAGCAAAGGCCTGGATGTGCAGCCGGGAGGGGCCGTTCCACAGCTGGTCTAGCTGAGTGGCTGGGCTGGCCAATGGCTCTGGGACCATCTGAGGACAGTTGTTTCTCATCCAGCTCAACCCCACGACATACAGGGATGAGTGTTCTAGGGGCCATGGACTCTTGAGGGTCCATCAGCTGGGCCAGTGCCCCACTTTGCCACTTACTAGATGTGTCTTTTGGAATAATGGCTTCCCAGCCTCTAACAAAAAAGACCCTAAAGGATTTTAAAAGGACTGATTTGGACAGTGATTGCCAAGTACCTGGTGCTCTCTAGATGTTTAGTAGGTCAGTGCTGTTACGTTGACTAAGAACTGATTTCTGGGAGTAGATGACACGCCATGCCCATTGCTATGGGGGATGACTCAAAAGCAATCAAGATGAAAATGAACCCTAGCCTCAGGAATCCACATCTGTGCAGCGGCCACCTCATGCCGTGTGTGAGCCACCACTTGACATGCCTGCATCTCACATTGCAGTGGCTGGGTTTGAGCTCATCTTTGCTCTCATTTCCAATTTCCTGCTAATGTGTACCCAGGGAGGCAGCAGATGATGACTCAAGTATTTGGGGCCCTGCCATTCACATGGAACATCCGAATAAAGTTCCTGAGCTCTGGCTTTGACTCAGACCATGCCTAGTTATTGTGAGCATTTGGGGAGTAAATTAACAATTGGAAGATCATGTTCTCTGTATATGTCTCTCTGCCCTTAAAATAGATAAAAGAGACAATAAATTAACTTTCAATCGTAACTGGGGCAGGTCCTGCGGCATAACGGGTTAAGCCACCATTTGCAGTGTTGGCATCCCATATGGGCTCTGGCTCCAGTCCCAACTGCTTTACTTTCAATCCAGCTCTCTGCTACTGTGCCTGAGAAAGCAGTGGGGGATGGGCCAAATGCCTGGGCCATTCCATCCACATAGGAGACCAAGAAGAAGCTCTGGCCTCTGGCTTTGGTCTGGCCTAGCCCTAGTCATCACATTCATTCGGAGAGTGAACCAATGGATGGAAGACCCCCCTCTCTCTCTTCTCTAAAACTCTGCCTTTCAAATAAATAAAATAAATCTTTAGGGCCCGGCGCGGTGGCGCAGTGGTTAAGGTGCCCCTATGTGAGGCTGGTACAGCAGGTGGTGGCTTTATCTACTACGCCACAATGGCTGGGGCTGGGCTAGGCCAAAGCTGGGAGGTAGGAACTTCATCCGGGTTTCCCACCTGAGCGGCACTTGGGCTGCCTTCCCATGTTTCTAAGGCCAATAGTAGGGAGCCAGATGGGAAGTAGAGTAGCTGGAACCTGAACTAGCAGTCAGGTGCCGTAAGTGGTAGCTTAACGTGCTACATCACAACATTGGCCCCTCCATGGACTTTCTGAAGTTCCTTCATATTTGTTCTGCTCAGACCTGACCACAGAGCCCTACACAGAAGGGTGGTCATAACCGGAATGAATGAATGAACCTCTCTGGGAAGGCCTTGACTGCAAACCCAGCCCCAACTTTAGCCAGGGTGCCCAGGTCTCTAAGAGGGGGCATGTATCCAAGTCAGGGACGTGTTGAGCTTATGAACTGGGCAGACAGAGGAGTCCTGATGGTGATGGATCCTGGAGATGGGGCAGCAGATGCGAGCAATGGGCAGCAGTGACAGGTGCTTCCCTGAGATTTTCTACCCTCATCTCTAGCCTCTAACGAACACCCCTCCTCCCAGGGGCTCCCTGAGTTCCTCTACTTCCCCTTTTACCTTGACTCAGGATTGTACTAAAATTGCCCTTATCTAGGGCTGCCATTGTGGTGTAGTTGGTTAAGCTGTTCTGGTTTAAGCTGCCACTTACAGTATCAGAGCACCTGTTTGAGTCCTGGGATGCTCCACTTTTTTTTAAAAAAAAGATGTATTTATTTTTATTGCAAAGTCAGATATACAGAAAGAAGGAGAGACAGAGAAGATCTTCTGTCTGCAGATTCACTCGCCAAGTAACTGCAGCGGCCAGAGCTGAGTTGATCCTAAGCCAGGAGCCTGGAGCCTCTTCCAGGTCTCCCATGTGAGTGCAGGGTCCCAAGGCTTTGGGCTGTCCTCAACTGCTTTTCCAGGCCACAAACAGGGAGCTGGATGGGAAGCAGGGCTATCAGGATAAGGACCAGTAGCCATATGGGATCCTTGCATGTGAAAGGTGAGGACTTTAGCCACTAGGCTACTGTGCTGGGCCCAGTGCTCCACTTCTGATTCAGCTCCCTGTTCATGTGCCTGGGAAGGCAGTAGAAAATGATCCAAGAGCTTGGGCCCCTGCTACTTATTTGTGAGGCCTGGGTGGTGTTCCAGCTCCTGACTTTATGCTGGCCCACCCCTGGTTGTTGCAGCCATTTGGGGAATGAACCAGCAGAAGAAAGATCTTTCTTTTCCTTTGTCTCTCCCTCTCTCCCTCTCTCTCTGTTACACACACACACACACACACACACACACACTAACTTTCAAATAAATAAAATACATCTTAAAAGAAAAATTGCCTGTCCCCTCTGAACTCCCATTAGACCACAGCCAGGGCGTGGCAGGTGTTCAGTGTTTGAGTGAGGATGAGGACAACGCATCTCTGTCCTCCCTCAGTTCCCAAGTCTCTGGGTGTTGGGCTGCCTGTCAGCTTTCTCTTCTCCTCTGGCCGTGGGCTTGGGCTTGCATGAAGTCGACTGCGGTCTTACCCAGTGGAGACCCAGCCTTTGCAAGCAAATGCCAAACCCGTGCTGGATAGAACAGATAATAAATGTGAGGATGAGGATGAGGCAAGCACAGCGGAGAGGATGCGGCAGAAGCCGATGGGGAGGCAGCTGCTGGATGGAGCACGGTCTTCCATATTAATGAATTTGTCACAAGGCTTAGGCGGTAGAAGCTGTAGTTCTGAAACTCTCTGAGGTTTCCATTTCACCTGGCAGCGAGGAGAAGCTGATGGAGGTGCAGTCAGTATTTCAGCTTTTGCCCAGGGCTAGGTCTCTGCTCCGGATCTGGGCAACTTTGGTTTATTTGCATACAAATTGCAAAAGTCTACAGAGTCTTCAGTCAAGCAAGTTTTAAGTAAAATGAGATTGCTTCCCTGGAGGCTAGCATTCCCCAGGTTTTCTCTTCAACATTCTTCTCACTCAGCAGCTACTCACACTGATGCAGATATTTATTTATGTATTCATGACCCCAGGAGTGTCCAGGAGAGCAGAAGAAGAGAGCAGACAGAGCCAGGGTTACCTGGGAGGATGGTTTAGGGAATGGCTGCAGGTGAGAAGGGCGGAGCCTGGGGCCGGTGATTCAAACCCGTCATGGATTTGATCTGGTTTGAACGAGACCAACGAGGGTTCCTGGGCTCAAAGCTGGGTTCCCACAGTAGCAACACTGAAAGATAGTGGGAGCTGGGAGGCGGTGCCTTGCGGCAGGCCACTACAGCTTGTTCCAAAGTTGCTTTTTCCCTTCCCGGTGTGTGTGACAGTT